TTATGTCATTTCAGTATTTTTCTCTGTTGATGTCTTCTTTCCCATGTTGGTTATATTTCCATTTTCCTTTACTATTCTGAAAAAAAAACTTTTACATTTTCCCTAAACATTTTGAGTATTTTGTTATGGATGTTGGATCCTGCTAAAATGCTAGGGTGATGGTTCCCTTTTCTGTTCTAGCAGCAATGGACCTGGGTGTATTTGGTCTGCAATCCACCTTCCCTGCTTTGTGGTTCCAGTGTCCATTCAGACCTCTTCCACATGAGCACCACTTGCTGGCCAGTCTGGCTCTCATCTGTCTGCTAGTTCAATTGCCAGTCTTTTATATACTAATTAGCAGCAAACACACACACACACACACACACACACACACACACACACACACACTCCTGTGGCTGAGCCCAGAAGTACATAAACAACTGTAAGGCTGCTTTCCCAAGCCCGCCCTCTCCATGACCTCCCCAGTATTGTCCAGTTCCCTGGGGCTCCCTTTCCTCATCATCCAGCTAGAAAACTGGGTTTAGTTTATCCTGCTCTGCTCCTCCAGAGACAAACATTATGAGGATCAAAAGGAAAAAGTTAAACATAGCAGCATTTTGGCTGTAGTTTGAATTCTGATCTTCTTCCTCAGTCTGCTTTGACTCTGTAGGGTTTTTTTGAGTCCTCAGGTCATGGCTACATCCACTGTCAGAGGTGATCTTGTCTACTACTTATTACCTGAAACCTGAATCTTCAAACTATATCTTTAGAGTTATCTGTCTTATTTACTAAAGTCTGAAAAGTGGAGGTCCTATAACATGGTAGATAAGGCTTGACAAGCTTATAAATGACACATGACGGGTGACTGAATCAAAACATTTGGAAGGGTTCAAGGTAGGTCATTCTGAAAAGATGACTTTAAAAGAACAAATTAAGAAACATGCCCTTAGGGATGATATATAGATAGATATAGATATAAATATAGATATAGATATAGATATGCACCTCAATTGGTTGAAAACAAGGTGCTTAGTTAGCAGTGTCAGCTGGTGAAATGTTTGATATAAGCCAAATTATCATGATAATTTTTGCTCATTTGCTTAAAAATATTATATGGCCACTATACAAGAAAATTCTCTTATTTTGTTTATAAAAGTATAGAGTCTTGGGTGGAATGGCTCAGGCCTATAATCCTAGCTACTCAGGAGGCTCAGATCTGAGGATTGTGTTTCAAAGCAAGTCCAGGCAAAAAAGTCTATAAGACTCTTATTTCCAATTAACCACCAAAAATCCAGAAATGGAATTGTGGCCCAAGTGATAGAGTACTTATTAGTAAAATGAGCTCCCTTCCATAGCTTAGTCCACTCCTTCCCCTCTCCACGGCTTAGCACGCTCCCTTCCTAGGCAACAGTAGGCCCATGTAGTAAAGGCAGTAAATAATCAGCCTCCAGCCCCCTTTACCTTGGGATGGCACTTCTCTGGGGCAGCTACCACCATATAAGGCAACAAGAGCCCCTTAGAGTGACCTTCAGGTCTGGGCAGTGGCAGGACCCCTTATCTACTATTTGGATAGCAGCCATAAATCCTAGTCCACCATGATGAAGCCCCTGGTCCACATGTCCACACTGGGGTCTCCGCCTCTTAGCCCCTTTAGCTCCTCCTAAACCTCCTGGGTTTTATAGGTCACCTCAGACTGCTTCTTCTCCCTTCTCCCTTGTGAGAAGGAGTCTTGCTAGCCTCCTTTCCCGACAATAAACCTTTCTTGTTCTCTGTACCTGGAGGTTTTCATGGTTCTCTGGCAAAATCTATTTAATCTTTCATTTAATCTTTCAGTACTAGTCTTGAGCAAAAAAATCTCAGGGACAGTGCCCGGGGCCCTGAGTTCAAGCCCCAGGACTACACCAAGGGGAAAAAAATAAAAAGACTGTAGCTACTTGGGTGGCTGACATTGGGAAGATCACAGTTACAGAAAAGTATACAAAATTTCATTTTAACAGAAGAATCTGGGCATGGTGACATATACCTGTCATGCCAGTTATGGCAGAAAGCATAAAATAGGCAGATTATAGCCTGGGCACGTGCCTGGATAAAAAGTGACACCCTATTTCAAAAATAACCACACAGCAGAAGATGTGGCTTAGCAATACAATACCTGCCTCGTGCCAGTGCTGAGTCCAAACCTTAGTAACACACAGGAAAAAACAAAAAGACCGGGACTGGATGAATATGAGACATGGAACTTGTAAGGACTATCTTCCATTTCCTCTCCAGCTCTAGTCTCCATTCTTCTCCGCCTAGTTATGTACCAGGAAGTTGACTCTTGCATGAAAAGAATCTTAGACTCTTTTCTGCTGTTTTCACCAAATACCTGAGAGGGGTATAATATTATAAATAAATAATATTATATTAATTACTATAAATAATATTATAATAATTTTATAAATAAATAATATTATAAATAAATAATAGAAGTTTATTTGGCTCACCATAGTCCTGAAAGCTGGCAAGTTCAAAAGCAGCGTGTTACACCTGGTGAGGTCTTCTTGCTGAATCATAACCCAGAAGAGAGGACCACAGAGCAAGGGTGACGGCTAGAGTCTCCCTTTTCTTATAAACGCTATCATGTGGGGCCTACCTTCACAATTAACCCTAACTACCTTATAAAGGCCTCATCTCTAAATAGCATTAACATAAAAATTTTGAGAATTAAGTTTCTAACATATAAACTTTGGAGGGACACATTCAAATCATGGCTGGATTCGTGTCCATGAATAGCCAGAGATTGGAAAGGAGGAAGAGGGAAATTAGGATCTCTGTCTCCTGTTGCCTCTCTGTGGGGTCACCTTGGGGTTCTATTCCTCAACTGATGGTCTTAGCTCCTCTTGAAGTATCCCCGTTTGTAATGCTCTGTCTTCCAGGATGCAATAGCCCCTGTCCACCTGCTTACCCCCTGCCCTACCATGCTAGCAGCCCTGTAGTTACCACTCTGGTGTGCTGCATTGTCTCTTGGGATTTGCCTACATCTTGTCCACACTTTTAATATTTTTTATTATGAACTATTTTTAAATTATGAATTATGAATTCTTGAACTGTCCTAATGAGAATAGTCAGCGGTGTCTTGGTTGACCCTGGCCGAGGCAGCTTTCTGCATTAGGTGTGAAGATGAGATGATTTCTAAGAATACTTGTAGTTCTATACTCCAGATTTCTTGTCCCTGACTTTGCTGTTGTATTTCTGCAAGTGATAAGGAATAACTTTCTGTACCTAACAAATACTTCTTTTGGAGTGCATTTGAAGTTCACCTAAAGACCTGTGATTCCATTTAGCCCCATAATGTACATGATTTATTACTTTATCAGGATTTATATTTTCAGGATGTATTTCATTATTCTCTTCAGTTATTCTTACTATAGGGTAAGTGGATACCTTGTGAAAGTGCATATAAAAGAAAATACATTGTCCACACAATTACATTATAGCCTTTAGTAAGTTCATATCATACCCAAGGTGTTAAGCCACACTTTCTAGGAAGACAGAATACTTGAGGCTCTTTGTAATGATTCTATTATGTCTAGAAAAGGAAAGAAGAAACTACATTATCTGCATATATGATTGCAAACTTCTTGACTATTGAGTGTTGTGGCCCCTAAGTGACATACCATCTTCTGAAAGGAAGACTAACTCCATTTGACTCAGAATAAGAAGAGTTGTGGGTCTCACAGGGTTTGACAATGAGATTAGCTTCTAAGCAAGTCGCATTGATGCTAGGTTGGTGGGAGATGCCACTTCTTGATTTAAAGAGTAGCCTGTGCACCTAGGGAAGGTGTCCTGGTCCTTTTTCAGAGATACACAATGAGGTGTTCATGGTTGAAGTGTGTCCCAATGATACAGAAGGACTTGAGTAGGAGAAGAGATGAAACAAGATGGCAGCTGGCTGAGTTGGAGCTGGGGATGGAGCTGGGAAGAACGGCCACACTGAGCTCCCTATTTTGTGTGTGTTGGGATCACAGAACAGTAAAGACGAATGAATGAATGAATGAATTGTTAAATGGCAAGTCACTGCTTGCTTCAGGAAAACTTATTGTTTGTAGCTTGGGTGAACCATGATGTCATGAGGAACCCTCTGTGTAGGTTTCAGAAATGTAAGAGGAACAACGTGTTGAAACAAGATGTAAATGAGAAATGCTATTTTTGTGAAAGTTTACTCAATGGAACCATGCTCAATGGAAACTATCATGATGACAATATTCAGAAAGCACATTAAATGTACTTTTTCATGAATTGAGAAGAGAAACAAATTATACACGTATTTTCAAAGCCATTCTGTATGGAATTCTAAGTAACCTGAATGTATGTGGCGAGAACAAGGTGAGGTTACAGACAAAATGAGATGGTGAGTTAAGGGTAAAGTAATACAAAGAACCTGATTATAGTACTCATTTTCTTCATAGATATATACAGATATATATATATACACACACACACACATATGCTTTTCAATTTTCCCACACAATGTTTCTTGGTGGTAGGGTTTTTTTTGTTTTTGTTTTGGTGTGTGTGTGTGTGTGTGTGTGAGTGTGTGGTGCTGGTCATGGGGCTTGAACTCAGAGCCTGGGCACTATCTCTGAGCTTCTTTTGCTCAATTCTAGTGCTCTACCATTTGAGCCACAGCTCCCCTTCCAGCTTTTTTCTTTTTTCTTTTTTTAGTTGTTAATGGAGTAATGGGGATGAGAGCCTCTTGGACTTTCTTGCCTGAGCTAGCTTCAAACTATGATCCTTAGATCTCAACCTCCTGAGTAGAATTACAGGCATGAGCGACCAACACCCAGCAAAAATGTGAAAAAAAAAAGAAAAAAGAAAGAAAAGAAACACATTCTTCTCATCTAAACTATGACAATTATACATTATAGAAGTATTTTGTGATTTTATAAAATGCAAAATGGTGTTATTCCTCTTTGCCTCCTACAGTCTGCATTTGCTGATATATCACTATTCATTTCTTTCCTCTTTTCTACCCTTAGTTTTGCCCGCTGTATGGAACCAAGCTAGTGTTCCAGGAGCGAGCCTGGAATTTAGAACAGAAGTACTTGAATCCCATGACCAGCTTGAGGATCAGGAATCAGGTATGGGTGGGCCCTTAGGGTGAAGAAACTTATTATGCACCCATCTTTAGCTCTTTGTTTTCTTAGAAAATAACCCTGTTATATCACTCATGGATTTCATGCCTCTGGAACTTCACATGATCAATGTGTGACAGGATTGTGTTCTACTTCATAGCAAAGTGACAAGGAGTGATTCACTGCACTTGATTTTCCTGACATGAGAAGCAGAGAAGGATACTGTGTTTTCCTTGTCTTAGAAACAAAAAATATTAATGATTTTTATTTTTCAACTCCTCCCAAAACTTTATCACTCATCCCTCATATTCAGAAGAGGGACCTGTGGTACTGTTATGTCACAGTAACCACAGAATTCAATAGCTACCAAGCACTTGAAAATGCAGGCAGGTCCAGTGACTCACTCCCAAATGCTAGTCTGAGGAAACAGTATAGAACAGCACCATTATTGGTCAAATGCATTGCTGTACCCCTTCCCTGCTGACCCTTGGCTGAAGCACAAGCAAGAGTGGGGCTCAGTCTCCACATTCAAGGGAATTCTCTTTCGAGGATAGATAGGGTAGCAGGTAGAAAGTCTTGAACTTCAGAGTTGAAGGACAGATCCATGCTCATTATCTTGGGTAAAGTATGGTCAGGCAAAATAACGGTAACTCTATTGTGGGCAGTGGGCATCTGACGTTGACTCTATTAAGTTAATGCTTGACAAATCTGAGGCTTCCATAGCAGATTTCTGATGCTAGCTAGCTGAGTTGTAGGATGAGCTGCTGCCTTTAACTAGTTCATGTAGACCATCATTCGATGGTTCACACACACACCTTTCCCCCCCCCCCCCGCACACACACATACACCCAGACTCCTTCATAACAAAGTCCCCATGCACAGGGTGCCTAGGTCTCACTCATTCTGTATTTTTTAAGGGATATGTACAGAACAATTACATTCTTTGTTCTTGGAAAATTCAGTGCCCAGGCATTACCCTGTTTCAGACTTCATTAACCCAGACATTTGTGTTTATTTTGCTTCAGATAATTATCAGTCTCATAGAGTCACAGCTGAGGCTCATTTTCAGGAAGAAAATAACCCAACCGTTAATAGTAGTATATCTCCATTAAAAACCACTTCGTTTTCCTAAAAAATAAAATAAAATTACACCTTCAATTGGTATATTGTAATGAAAATAAGTGGTTGGCTGTGAATTTCCTCCCTTATTTTGCAATTCTTGAAAGTCACCTTAAGGTAGACATAGAGTAGCCTTCTTTGGCCCCCTGGTGTCCTGAGCATAGTGCCTACTCTGAAACAGTGGGGAAGAAACAAATATATGGGGACATGTGGTCAGCTCACAATAAGACATTAACACAAGAGGAAGCTTTTTAGTCTGTGTGTTTTGAGAGAACCACAGCCCAGCTGTGGGTTGCAGATCAAAAAAGGACCCTATTCAATGTGGTGAAAATAATACTTAGAAAAATGTTAAATCAGGTTCTGTTTCCTGCCCTGAGCTCAAATAATAAAACCAGTTACAAAGGGCCTCTAGGCGGGGAATGCTCCAGGCAGAGAGTTGCTTACTCCAAACAGCAGGGAGAAAGCCCATTCTTCCACTTTCTCAGAGACTGTAAGGAACTGCCCATTAACAGTAGTGTTAAAAAAATAAAACCCAAATCTGCACACCTGAAAGCCAGGTGCTAGTGGCTCACACCTGTAATCCTTGTTACTCAGGAGTCTGAGATCTGAGAATCCCAGCTCAAAGCTAGTTTGGGTAGTAAAGTCCTTGAGACTCTTCAATTAACCACTGAAAAAGCTCAGGGATACTCAAGCCCTGAGTTCAAGCCTGAGGACTAGTGCACGCTACACACACACACACACACACACACACACACACACACACCTCATTCCTGAAAAGAGAAAGTAAACACTAACACTAACCATAACTGTGTCCAAGAATTTTTGATATTTCCCAATACACACACCATTTTTCATTACATTGTATCAACAGCCCTTGCTTCTTCATGAGCTGTTGCATTAACATCCTGACGGTGTCATGGCCTGTCAATTGCTACATCTCTATTGGAGCTTAGTTCACTGGATTTGTTCTCCAATGCCTCTGAGACAGTTTTCACTTTAGTGAACCTATAGCCGTGCAAGGGGAAGCCTAGGTTTCCCAGCATAAATTGCAGTTCTATGTTGCACCTAGGCTGGTATATAGACATGGAAACAGCCTCGTCAGCCTCCATTGCTCCATTGTAAGGAACCATTTCTTTTTTCCTGTATGTGAAAGCACTGCTCAAAAACCTGAGAAGAACTAGCTGGTGACATGTGGTCTGGGCTCATTGGCTGTGTCTGCTAAACTGATCACTAGGACATGTTTCGACTTCAGCCTGGTCAACCATTGAGGAAGAACAGCACTCAATCCTGTTGATTGATGGATCATTCAAGTGGCTCTGAGCAGACATGACCATTGGTATATTGATTTAGAAGGTGTGGCTTATTGTAAGAATATGTAGCTGCATGGCATAGACCATGCCCCAAAGCTAGTATGCTTAACAAGCTCCCATCTGAATTTAAAAGACAGGTACACTTATTTTCTACATTTATTTACTTTACATGATTATTTATACTTTATTCTCACACCCCTTTATTCAAAACAAATCACTCATTTATTTTGAACTATGCCTAAACTATATAATGGTAGATATTATCTGATAGCAGAAAGGGTTAGAGTGGAAGAAACAATATAGGAAAAAAAGTTGTACAGGAGTTCTAAGCTGGAAAGATAGTATTGGGATATTAGCCCTCCTTAAATCTTAGTTTTAGGAAGAATATGTACCCCACACTCAAACCCATAACCTATAATGTGCCCTACATGTGCTCTCCACTTCCTACAAACGCAGTGTGGGATGGTTTTCACTTTGCATGGAATATTTATTTCCAATGAACACTCAGATTTCCCACCCCTCCATTTCCCCTCCCCCAAACCACCTGGATGAATGCAGCTTTAGCAGATGTTCAGAATCCAATTCACAATCCAGGGCAACATGAACCGAAGATTTAGGCAAAGCATATTGAAAACATCTCCAGGAGTGGGAAAGAGTAGAATTTCTCAGGCCTTCAGTCTCCTGTACTATGCATAGATTCTCACTTTTCTGTATAAGGAATCTGAAGAAAGAGATTTCCCCACCCCATAAAGTCCATCTGACCTGACAGCTAGTAAGTGAAACAGCTTGCTTGCTAGTGTGTCCCCCAGGCTCAGTGAGGAAGCTGGTATGGGCTTACCTGCATAGAGTCCTGCTCTGCTCTGGTGTGAGAAGGGCCAGTTCCTGCTTGGTAGCCTTGAGCAAAGAGTCAGGTATTATTAGAATTATGTCACATGATAGAAATTCAACAGAGTCAAACAGTTAAATCCTGTATTTTGAAGGCATCACCACAACTGGTTGTACCCTTCTGTCACTTCTACCTTGTCCTAGCACCGAGAGCAAGAGAGGAAAACTACTAGCAAGAGATTGCTGCCTAGGAAAGGGGAAAATCTATCTTCTCTTCTCTTCCCCTGTCCTCCTGACCCACTCAGGTTCCTCAGTAGCATGAACTACTAGGTTGAACCTATAAAATGCAGGTCATTCATGTGAAGTTAAGAAAACATATGGGGGGGGGGTAATTTCTTCAGTTTAGCCTAGAAAAGGGACCCTGAGGTCATCTCCCATCCCCACAGACCTGGTTTCCACATGGTAGCCACCTGGTCAACCCTCATGCCCCACAGTGGGGCTTTGTGTATCTGGGAAGTGAATTGAGATCATTCCATTTCCTTCATTCAAGAGTAACTTGTTATAGCCACTGGAGAGAGCAAATGTTTTGCTAAGCTCCAGCCTCTGAGCTCCGGCAACTGCTCGACTCTGGGTTCCCCAGGGGAGATGCTTCAAATGCCAGGCAATTGGGGCTTTCTTCTCCATGTGTGACTGTAGGTCTACTCCCATCACCAAGGATTCACAGTGAAAAATTGTGAAATTTGCGTGAGGAGGAGCTGTCTTCCACAAACAAAGCCCTTTCACAAGTTGGAATTCACCTGAGTCCAACTAGACCCCAGTAGTGGTTAAGGATTTTATCATGATTCTAAAAAATATTAAGTAAGTTAACTGAACTTAAAAGAGAAAAGGAAATAATTTCAGGATGTTTATTTTAGTATAACAAGGTTTGAGTTAGAAATTACTGTATTTTGTGAAAATAAAATGTGTTTATAGTTGCTTTTCACTTTTCGTGGGCAAGTTCCCTTTCCGGTTTTATTTATTTATGTATTTTAATTTGTGCCCATCCTGGGGTTTGAACTGAGAGCCTGAGTATTGTCACTGAGCTTTTGTTCTCAAGGCTAGCACTCTGGCTTTTTAGGTAATTAATTGGAGATAAGAATCTTGTGGACTTTCCTGCTTCCTACCAGGGAAGAGCCAGGAGCCACCCCCCAGCTAGGCTGTTTAATTTTAAAGATAAGATTGCTGTTAGGTTCCCTTGGCTCACCCCTGGGAGACTGAGATCTGAGGATCGCTGTTCAAAGCCAGCCAGGGCAGGAAAGTAGTCCGTGAGATTCTTTTTTTTTTTTGGGGGGGGGGTCCAGTCGTGGGGCCTGAACTCTGGGCCTGAGTGCTGTCCCTCAGCTCTTCAGCTCAAGGACAATGCCCAGGCCCAGAGTTCAAGCCCCAGGACTGACAAAAAAAAAAAAAAAAAGATTTGATCATTATGTCAATCTGCACCTCTTCCCTCCTGGGTGGGACACAATGCGCTTAGTCCCAAGGAACTACAGGAAGATAGCATGCAGGGTGACCTCACTGTAAAGCATAGAGAAGGGATGGGACTTACTTGTAAGAACCCCTATATGGTAGAAGGCTAGACTCTTAGTAGCTTCCTTCCCTGGACAGCTAATAGTTACATCACATATTGTGCCTTGAACCACCAGGAGTCAATTCTGTTAGCCTAATAGCCTACTGCTGAAACAATGTAAGTAGTAATGGCCAGCTCGAGCCAGGAGA